TTAATCACCCCTCTCCCAACATCATATGCTTATAGTGATTCTCAGTGAAACCCACTATCCAGAATTGCTGTAACAGTATACAGTAATCAGTTTGTGACAGTATGATGACAGATATACATATACATGTACATGTATATGGTGATTATTAAAAAATCTCTTGCATAACACAGATGTTCGATCAGGCACGTGGTTGTCATTACTTTGTAATAAATTTATCACGAGTTTTACCACAGAAGAAAATCGAATGTCATAGAACTTTTGTATGCATGATTTAATAAATCTGATTATCACTTTGTGATGCGTGTTATTGTGAAAAAATTTCTTTCTCACATAGCCTTTTTTGTCGTATTGTGTCACTGATGTCTTCAAAAAAACAGAATGCCGAAAGTGAGAGTTCTTCAAAAAAGACCACACAAAAAACTTCAAAGAAACGAAAAAACGTCGAAACCGAAAGTGCAAGCTCTTCTGCCACCCGTCAGCAACCCCTTGCCAGAGGTGACTCGGTTATCGCGGAGGCCACCAGTAAACTTAGCCTCAGTTCCAGTTCTAGTGCTAGTTATGACTTAGACGATCTCCCTTCTTCGGAATCTTTCAAAGCACGAGATATAGAAGTACTGAGTGAGCTTCGAACAAGCTTCAGCTGAGAACCTTGTTATACCCGATGTTCAAGATTTCTAGCAACCAACTTTCAAAAGTTACCAAAGTATGTTCTCCCTACTATCAACACTTCAATACTTGGAAATCCAACATTCAATGTTAGAGATTTTACTGGCATTACGAATAATAAAGTCCAAACGTTCGTCACGAAATTGCATCAAGTCGTGCTAAATGGTCTTCAGGTAGTAGGCACCAACGAAACTTTCACTGATACGCTTGTGGATAATCTACTTCGTATTACTAAGCTGGATAACTTTCCCTTAATGATTAGGTGAGTAACTTCTGTTTGCGATAAGTACAATGGTCATTCCTAAATGTTCATTCCCAAAATCCATAAATCACCCGCTAAACAGGCTATACATTGAGGGTGAAGCTATCGTGTCATCAGACTCCGAATTTGTAGTAAGGAACGGAAACCTTGCTATTCTTGTGGTAGAGGTCTGTGTGCTGACTGTTTGAGAGGTTATTATTTTTGTCAAACTCAAACAACTTTTTTTAACAGGACAAACATCTGAAAAATGTCTCGTCAGCCGATGGATATGGAGAATCGCAGATTGCTATAGAAATTCTTGCTTGCGGTAGTGAGAATTTACGTTCCCTCGGTAAGGAGGAACCTACAGATCAGACAATATTGGCCATGCGCGTAATCTCTACATACGTTACTTTTTACAAAGCTGTGATTCCTGAAAAGTATTGGAAGGCGCTTGAAAACGGTTTACCAAAAGGTCAATCAGTAAAAATTCAAAGTTGGCCTGCTAGGAATGGTTTGAAGACTGGTTTTAATCTTGCTGAACCAAACGGAAGACAAGCGGTGTTGACAGCATTAGTCAAAATTCGTGAATCACTTTTACAGGAAGAAGGGAAGGCGAAGGAGAGGAAGGGGAAGAAGGAGAGGAAGGCGAATAACTGTCGTAATGTGATGAGGTTATTTGGTCGTGCTGGGGAGCAGTTTATAGTGTGTTTTATCAGTTCAATATATTGTAATCAATAATTGCTATTTTTCATTTTGCGTTCGAAATAAATATTGTCATGCAACGTGTATATATTTGTTATTTTTGCCTTCTCGATTTTCATTACGGAAGAAGTCTAACCAAAGATAAGTACAGAAGGTTGATCTTTATTAATAATTTATTGCTCTTTTTATAGGAAAAGCATACGTTGTCGGATTACATTCAAAATTTCTTTCGTCGCATTGTTCTTAATATTTTCTGACATGATGATTCTTCTATCGAAACGAGATGTAAGTTATCTCACCTCCTCACATTACAGTTGCAAAGCATATGTAGAAAGTGTCACGTGATAATTCTCAGCTGAATATGACACGAAGTGTCGATATTATTGCATCATTTTTTACTGAAATATGACACTCATTTGACTCAAAATGATTTAGAGTTAAATCGATTGTGGAATCAAATTCACCCATGTGTTTAAAATAGCAAGTAAATTCTGTATTACTCTCTTTATAAATTTCGTTATAATAATTCAAAATATATAACTCATTATATTCGAATTAAATTTAAAAGAGTCAACTGTATGATTACAAATATTTGTTATTGAATGTAGAAAATTGACCTTTGTGAAATCGGTGGTCAGAATCAAACAATTGATACCTAAGGATCAAAGACTGTACAACAGGCAATGAGGAGAAACATTTACATGCATTCTTTCAGTGCTTGCAGATGGTGCAAGGTTGTTTTCTTCGTCATTTGAAGATCTTTTTAATCGCGATAATGGTTGGCTGGATGAGATAGGCATAAAAGTATGGTTTGAAAATATAGTGGAAAAACCAGGTGATTGTGAGCAAGCTAAAAAGAAATTTCAAAAGTCATAAAACAAAAGTAGCACCAAATAAAAACACGTCGTTCTACTTCAACACGCAAACTTTTAGATGTTTATCTTGATAAGATAGACTTCGTAAAGATGGGATATCTGGATGAAAGAAGCGAGATTATAATTTTCGAAATCAGATAATTTAAAGGAACCTAGATATGACGAAATATGCAAATTAATTCTCAAAGCTTAAAATGACATATCTACTGAGATTCTCATTTAAAATGACCGGAATATCCAATACTATATATGGAATTGAGGGAGGCAAAAGAAGCAGAAGGGAAAGAAAGAGAAATAGTTGAGCAGGCAGATGTATTTGTAGAAACTGGAATCATTGGAAGATGACTAAGTTATTGTTATTATCTTGGGATTGGTACAGTAGGGAACACAAATAACTGTACCACTCTAAATCACGCAAAAATAGAAAAAAAATTAAATACAGTACAAATCATAAGTAACCGACCCCCCTTAACTTGGCATAGAGGTAAAATAAATTAAAAATTTTTATTT